CTCCCACTGCCTCCCCCTCCCCCCCTCTCTCTCTTTCTCTCTCTCTCGTACTCACGCGTGAATTCGTTCGGGTTACACCCTCGGCCCCTCTGCCCCCACCCCTTCCATCACCACCACCTCCTCCTCCTCCTATGTCTCCATCTTATTCTCCGCGTGCTCTCATTCTCGTATATTCCCGCGGCACGTATGCTCTCTCTCTCTCTCTCTCTCTCTCTCTCTCTCTCTCTCTCTCTCTGTGTCTCCCCCCCTCCCTTCTCTTCCCTTCACGCCTCTTTGACTTCGCCGCGGCCAACTTATGCACTCAGCCATGTGAACCAACCTTCACCTGCTTCAGAGCTCCGCTGCGAGCCTTCTTTTGTTTCCCTCGAAATATGCAGTGGCGGGGCGTGGCGCGGCGGGGCGCGGTCGCGAGTTGCCTTTTCATATAATGCAGGCAGCACGGGCGGCGCGGATCCTTTAAATTCCCCAAACTTTTTCGTCGGCAGCGGCGGCGGCCGCCCGATGAGGGAATCTCTTCCTGCGGCCGGGAGAATCTTAACTTCATTTTAACTTTCGTGTTTGGCTGAGCGAAAGCCGACGGGCCGCGGCGCGCCGCAGCCCAGCACAGCCCGCAAGCAGCAAGCCGGGCGGAGCACGGCGGCGTGGGGCGGACGTCGATGTGTCCTGATCGCGATCAGTGAGGTGCGAACACAGGAGCCATGTTGCGCCCGCTGCTGCTTCCGCTGCTCTCTCTGCCACCCGAACGGCGCATCGGTAGTGACAGTCAGGCCCTACGAACAATGCAAGACGACCCCTCTGCCAGGCACATCGCGCTGTACAGCCCGCCAAACCACGCACCGCCACGCCGCGCCCCACTCCACGCCACACCACTCCGCTGCAGCGGGCCCACGACACTTTTAATACCTTAATGCATCCGGGAGAGGCTTGCGCTCCAGGCTGAATAGTACTGGAAAACAGGGCGAACTTGAGAGGACGGGGGAGAAAGTCTGCAGGACCTGGAGAGGACGGGAGGGAGCCAGTCTGGAGGACCTGGAGAGGGCGGGAGGGAGCCGACGGGCTGGTGAAGACGGGAGAGAGCCAGTCCGCAGAACCTGGAGAGGGCTGGAGGGAGCCGGTGGGCTGGAGAGGACGGGAGAGAGCCAGTCCGCAGGACCTGGAGAGAGCCGGAGGGAGCCGTCGGGCTGGAGAGGACGGGAAAGAGCCAATCCGTGGGGCACGAAGGAGGAGGGCGGGAGAAGGCCGACTGCCTGGAGAAGGACGGAAGAGAGCCGGTCCACGGGACTTGGATCCCTGGAGAGACCCGTAAAGAGAGAGCGGGCTTTAGGGAGAGCGCGGGCGCGGATAGGCCGCGCGACAAGAGAGTGGTCTACACATTCGCTGGCTGGTTTGTGCTTGTGCCCCTAGGCGCCAAACTTCGAGTGCTCGAAATGATTTCGCTGAGCTCCCCGGAATCAAACAAGCTTGAAATCGGCGAGAGCGCGCGCGCACAGTGGAAGCCAGACCGGGAAGCCAACCAGCCAGCCAGACCGAGCAGGCAGCCAGGCAGCCACTGGCAGCGGCCTGGACCGCGCCCGCCCGCCCGCTGTACCGTCAAAGACTTTGGCCGCAAAATTGCGAAACTTTACCTCTCATTAACGCAAATGCAGATTGGATCTGAGGCTGCTGGGACCGAAAACAGCAGTAGTTTTGTTCCGAGAGGGAGCAAGAGAGAGATGGAAAGAGAGAGAGAGAGGAATGGAAATGCTGGGTGGGGGCGCTAAGCGGCTCTCTCTAGTAAAGTTGTGGATCGATGTCCGCCAGGACATACGCAACGCACACAGCCGCGTACGCGATTACTCATCAAGCACTCAAACGACCTTTCTGGAAATTACTCATCAATTGTTAATTTTAATTGTACGCTTAATTAACGTTACTTAACGGATTAACGGCGCTACGCCGTTTCCGTTACCGTTACTGTATCGGTAACGGAACGAGTTACATTTGGTCTGAGGGCGGTAACGTAACGCGTTACACGTTACGTGACCCCAGTAACGTGTAACGGCGTTACCGTTACCGCCAGTACATACGACATCGCGTTTGACGGCCACCACGCCATCAAACAAATCGGCAAGGTAACGAACGACGCGCAAATACTGAGGTGCCGTCGAGCGCCTGTGTAGAATGTTTTTCCTCCATAGCAGGACTTTCCCTCTCTAATCTTTGAAATTCCATTTGTCAAGAAAATTTAGAGAAGCAGGTTCTGCTTTGTGTGAACAAATCATACTGGGTGGTAGCAAAGAAATAATGTAAGGCTATCCTTGTAGCTTTCCAAACCCATTTTCTTAAAAAATACACATCTACACTCTCAGCCCGTTACTGACACTTTGCTAATACACAATGAACTTGCTTATACAGCAGTAATACTCACAAAATTGCACGTAATACTCACAAAATTGCACGTAATACTCACAAATTTAGTTAGTAATACTAATTATTTTGTTAGAAATTACTTAGGAAGATGATTCTAAGTACTTGCTAACAAAATAATTAGTATTACTTACTAAATTTGTGAGTATTACGTGCAATTTTGTGAGTATTACTGCTGTATAAGCAAGTTCATTGTGTATTTGCAAAATGTCAGTAACGGGCTGAGAGTGTATTTTTCTGATTTTTTTGAAAAAACGCAGCGCCATTACACGTTATAACGTAACGGACCATTACATTTCTCCCAGGGCCGAAACGGTGTGTATTTTGTAGTTTAAAAGTCACTCAGCTTATATATCAGGTGACCCCGCGCAACGCACAAACCTGCCCGCACACACACACTCTGGAAACACAAGTGTATGTGTGTACTTGAATGCAGGAGGTCCTGTGTACTTACATGTATGCAGGAGGTTCTGTGTACTTGGCAAGTATGGGGACCTCCTGTGTTCAAGTAACACACTTATGTTTCCATAGCAAAAGTGCACCGGTTTAATCAGCCACCTCTGGTGTAATTGTTACAGTAGCCAATATATGCTACTACACTTATCTGTTCGGATATTGGCAAATAGGCTGAGCTCCGGCTGAGCCAATTGTTTCTTTTTACTCGCCGCAATGGTCTCCAGAGCCCTGTATACACTGGAGCCAATTACTATACATGTACGTTCTAAGCAGGACGTGTAGAACCATGCCAAAAGGTGCCTGATTTCCATGAATGTTAAAATCTAAATCCACCTTTTCATCCTCTTTATCTCATTTGCGTTTATTTTTCTCCCTTTTGGCCGCAGCAGGGTCAACGTTACATCCGCGAGGCCTGCGGCAACTGTTTTCTATAATTGGAATCTTCAAAGCGGCGCGGGACGGTATCGGAAGCGCTTGCGCCGATAAAAACATTCACAGGAATATCAGTACTCTGCCAAAACTTTTACACGAAAAGTGGATTTCGTCTCTTTCAGGGAAATCGTGCGCAACTCAAACGCCACTGTGCCATTGCCTAGGGAAATCGTTTCATCCTGAATTGGAACATTCTTATTCACCCCTGATTGATTCACACTCTGATTGAACTATTTTCTCGTCTATGGCTCCACTCTCTATTATAAGAAATAACCGAACCGTAGCGCGATTGTTAAGAATATCTCTTATTCTACCCAAGCTCAATTTAATAAAACCTTTCGTGTCAGGCAACGAGCAAAGGTACAAAAGGACTTGAAGTCACATACAAGAGACTGTTTGTTATCACTTGCGGCGGAATATAGAGCGTGATGGAGATATATTCATGCCAGGGAAACTGGGCTGTTTTCCTGCTTACGCATTCTATCATTCTTCCTCTTCCTACAAATAATTCCCCTTCCTCCACCCGGCGATCCTTTCTCTCCCACTTTCTCATTTTTTTTTATTTTTATTTTTTTTTGAAGACTGTGTATGTGTCTTCTCAGGCACGCTACGATATGACGTATTTCTCGCTCGACACAACGGGGGTAAGGGATTTGGGGGTTGTGGGAGTGGGGAGGGGAAGCCAGGAAGGGGGGGATGGGAGATCCGAACGGTGAGAAAGAGAGGGAGGGCTGTGACACGTCACTAACACCAGCACGCTGCAGCACCACCAGCCAGCAAGCCGTACCGAGCCCCACAATGGACGTCGAAATGATGAATGGACGGGGAATTCTTTTGCCATCTTTGGAAAGCGAAAGTACTCGGCACCGCGCCGCCCCCCTTGTGAGAGGGACAGAGGGGGGAGGGGGGGACATGACGCCCTCCCGCAGAGCAGCCCACCGCAGGACCCGAACTGCGGACGCGATCGCATTCCTTGAAGCCGCTCACACCGTGTCATCGAAGGCGAGAATTACTTGACAGGGGGGGAAAAAACAACGTAAATACCGAACCAAATCTACAAACTCCTAAAAACAATATCTTTTGTGTTTTTATTATATTTATTGGTGAAGAATAACTCATGAAATCATCCTAATGTTGAGTAATTTCCTCTGTTGCAGCTGGCGCAGTCAAACGCCTACAACGTCACCCTGCTCAACGTGACGCGCTCGCTGGCCGGCTTCTACAAGTGCGAGGTGTCGGCCGACATGCCCTACTTCCACACCGGCATCCAGACCGGCTACCTCCGCGTGTTCGGTGAGTGTCTATGGGCCGTCCAGTATGAGAAATGCATGGCCGGCCGCACTTGTCCCGTCCCAGTATTGCCGTGTGCGCGCCGGGAATAAAGAAGAAAGCTGGGCGAGACAAGTTTGAAGGTCAAGCAGAGAGTGGGCCGTGAAAAAGTTGGGGGTCGCCTCGCCTCTTCGCGGCTTCGCGACCATACAGGGCCACCGGCCGCTTGCCGACCACCAGGGGTCAGGGATTGTGGCCAGCAGAGTGATTTTAGAACAATCGTAAGCTTACTTCCGGTGGGCGACACAAACAACAGGGAAAACACGGGTGAAAACAAAGGCGAAACTTTCAGAAAGTCTTAGATTGATTTCCACCATGTTACCCATTCACAAAGTGACACAGCACATCTTTGATTTGTTCATAAATCCGTGATAAAATCTATAAAGGGTCTGTGTGCAGCGCTGGCCCACAGTATACCCCCCCCCCCTTCCCCTACTTCCCTTTCACCCCGGCTGAGCAGTTCATCGAGTCACAAAGCACCGCTGCCGGGTGAAAGTTCGCCGACAGAAATTAATGCCCTGAAAACGCGGCTTCCCTTTTTCTCTCCCGCGCTCACTTCTCTACGTCTTTTTTTCTCCCTCCTCTTATATTTTTTTTTCTTTCGTGGCCACTTTTCGCAAAGTGCAGCGAAACGGAACTGAGAAGGCATCATAGCCGACCCCTTTGGCTGGCGTGCCGCCCCTGCGCCTGCGCAGCCTGCGCTATAGGCTCCCCTCAACTCATCTCTGCGGAGCGGAAGAGAAACTTTGCGCAGCGATCCTCTTGCAATGAGAGAGTGAGAAAGCGCGGCAGGTTTTTTTTATTCGTCTCTTTAAAATTAACCCCCGAGCTCGCGCGCGAATTCATTGAGATGATGGCGCTGATGATGATGACGACGATTATTAGCATTATCATCGTCAAACGAACGAGTTCTCTGCCGCGTGCAGGCGGTGGGGGGTCACTTTTTAGAGGGAGTGTACCCGCGCGCTGCTGGGATCCTCATAAAAAATAGACTAACATCATTTTCGGCGCGCGGCCCGACACGGCATTGGTTTCCATTCACCGCAAACTTGCCTCCCCCTGCCAACCCCGCTCTCCGCTCCGCTCTCCCAACGCCGTATCCCCCCGGGGGGCACGAGATCGGCGAGGAAGGGAAGGGGAGAGGGGGGGGAGGGCCCACAACACCTACCGCTCTCACAACCCGTCTCGTTTTCACTTCAACTTCTCTCCCGTTCTTATCCTCCACATCTCGACGCGTCGATCGTCACATTAATACCGGCTATTTTTCTCTCCTTCGCTGCGTGAAACTTTTTTTTCTATCTCATCTTGGCGAGTGGAAAAGAAAAAAAGGGGGAAAATGAGGGGGGGGGGAAAGGAAACAAATAATAGAATTTTGGCGCAGGGCACGAGCTTGCTTGCGCCGCACGGCACCTTTTCAGCAGCGGCAGCAGAGCGAACCCCTTCGGCGGATAGATATATCGCCGCGTGTCACCCAAAGGATATATTGAAACCTAATTTCGATGAGGACACCGCGGGCCTTTGTGTCTGCAGAATTATGCCTTTCATTTTGGGCCAACAAAGGACAAACCGGCAGAGACGGCGTCCGCCGAGGAGGAGTGGGGGAAGAGGGGGTGGAAAAAGGGGGCGGGTGAAGGGGGATGGGTGAGGGATATCAGATCCCCGCTGTCGCCGAGGCAGCCGAGGCGGCCCGCACGAGGTCGCCACCGCATTTTCCAATCCACCTCCCTCTCCCCCCTCACCCTCGATTCTAATATTTCCTCCTATTGTAACCTGCAGACGCGATGGCTCATCTTCGCATATTTCCTGTGCGGATCTCGCGGTGGAGGGCGGGGTGCTGTCGAGCAGAGAAAGAAAGCGACGAAGGCTTGCGGGAAAGAGGAGATTGTAAACGTGCTGCGCTCGAGCTGGGACGAGAACGCCTCAGGAACATCCTCTCTTCTTCCTCTTGAGAACGCCCTTGCCAACGGCCTGCAGAACGCCCCGCCCCGCACCTCCGCAGAATGGAAAAGTAGGCAAAACATGCACAACCTGCTCGGCGTGCGGGGCGGGTTTGGAGGAACGAAAACAAATCCAATAATGTTATACGTTCCGCTTCTGCTCCACGGGTGCGTGGGCATTTGAATTACCATCGTAGAAGGGAAATGATTTTTATGGCATCGCTTTTTGAGTTCAGGGAAATTGTTTGTACTGTTAGGCGTTACGTCGCCTTTGGATTCGCACGTCGTTTGAAGAAGAAGGCAGCGTCGTAAATTTGGGGC